CTTTATACCCTGGAGGGCCGAGCCAGCTCAAAAGAAGAGTTGTTGAAGGAAGACAAAAGGGTGTTACTGTTCTAATGAAAAGAACCCTCAAGAGGCAATCCAAAACTTTTGTTCCCAAGCCAGCTCTGAAACAAACTACTTTTGTGACCTTGGGCAATTCATCTGACCTCTATGGTCTCGTTCCTTAGCTCTGAAATAAAAAAGATAATACCTTGCTCTTCATGCCCTACACATGTGATGGAAACTTGAGAATATGCTAAAAAGTTGCATTCCACATTGTAGCATTGTCACTAGGGGAAGGAAGCAATGGAAGGGAGCACAACCCCATTAACCTCCATTCACCCTAGAGTAAAAACTGAAGAAGGGAAAAGACAGCGGTGTGAGTATTCCAGCCAGTCAGAGGTGTAGTTCGGAAGGACAAACATAGTCCCAAGAGAAGAAAAGTTGGGAAAGATAGAATGGAAAAGAATGAAGGAGAATTAGAGTAGAAAAGAGGACTAGGGTAGGGAATCCTGGTTGAATTTTGCTCACTGACCTCATCACCACCCTCTCCCTCATTCATGGCTGCTTGTCTGCTGTGCCCCATGCTGTTGCCATGTGTATGTCCAGTCTTTTCTCTTCCCTTCCACCCCTACCCCCATTAGCCAGGGATCTCTGCCAGGGCAATGACAGTATCTATCTCCTCCTCCTCCTTACCTCCAGTCCCCAAGGCTGTGCACTTCATGGATATTCAGTTCATGGGGTTGATAGACATTCGGTAAGCAGCTGTTGATCATGACTGTCACTAATTTGCTGCAAATCTTCAGCAAGTTACTTTACCTTTGAGTCTCATTTTCTGGCTCTCAATATTCACAGATTCCTGTCCTAGTTTCCCTCCATTCTCCTCTAGGTACTAGTAATGGCATCTCCCTTCGTCTCCCTGCCCCCAAATACACACAGTCATGCTCTCTCACCCTAGAGGGAGAAATAATGTCCCTAACGTCAGTTACACAGTGTCAGAAGGTATTGGAATCCCTGGATTCCAATTCAATTCAACAAACTTGAGGGTTTTTACACTGTGTCGGGCATTGGAGATTCAAACAACGGGTCCGCTTCTTTTTTTGGATATTCATTAGCCAAGCCAGGTGGACTAATGAAGCAGTCTTCAGAAAAGGGGGTGCCCCTGTGGCTGATTTTCTTCTCTATAGTCCCCTCATTTCTTCATATGGAAAGGGAACTGAATGTATTCCTAAAGTATCTTGGTACCCTTTCTTCGAAGCAACTAACTGACTTTCTTGTAAGGAAACTGGTGATTATTTCTCTTCCCTCATTAATCTTCTCCCCCCCCCCCCACGTATTGGAGAAGGCAAAAGAGAATGAGTAGATTCAGGAGTTCTGATACTCCTTGTGCTAAAGTGGACTTTGAGGCTTCAAAGTCTAGGGTCTTTCCCTAAGTATCATAAGCTGGGAAAAGTCTGACGGATTCTTTCTACCTGGAGTCTTCTCCAGGAAAAGGGATGGACTTAGGACCAGAGAGGGGAGGACTCCCCCTCACTTTCTCCCCTCCCTCCTTCTTGGGGGTAAAAACTCCAGGGTCTCTAAAGGAAGAGCAGAGCAAAGTTTTCTGCTACTACAAAATGGATTGGGGGGTGGGTGGAGGGAAGAGGAGGATGTATGGGGGGTGGAGTGGGGGCAGAGACTACGGTGTGGGATGGGCCGAGATCCTGCTTCTGTTCTCTCGTAGTTTCCTTTGGAGAGAGTAGGCTGAGACCGAGAGGGGAGAGAAGGCTTGAAACGGCGTCCACCTGCCGCTGAAAAGAGTGGAGTTGGGAGAGAACTGCAAACGGGGGAAAGGTGAATGCGCTCGAGACCCGAAGGGCCTGGAGAGCCCGAGATCGTGGAACTAGGGGGTGGGGGAAGAGGAGAAAGAGAGGGGGTCCTAGCTCCGGAGTCCCTTACCCCGCGGGGCTGCCGTCATTGCAGGTCACCGAGGTGTTGAGCAGGAGGTGAAGACGCAAGTCCTCATCCAGCTTTTGAGCGAACAGGGATACAGGGACTGGGCCAGACTCTTGATCTGAGACATGAAGCTGTCCATGTTGCCCTCCACAGCCGTGAAATCCAGTGGGAAGCTCTCCACTGGCTGCCCTGCCACCTCGCCCAGTTCCCGGCCGGGAAGCGCCTGGGGCTGGGGCTGGGGCTGGGGCTGGGGCTGGGGCTGAGGCGGAGACGGAGGCGGCTGCGGCTGCGGCTGCTGCTGCTGTTGCTGCTGGTGCTGACCACGCCGTCTCCAGGTTTTCCTTCCCTCGCTGCCGGGGCCCCAGTGCAATAAGCCCAGGAGCAGCAGCACTCGCACCGCTCTTTGGCCCATGCCAGCGCTGGTCCTGTCTTTCCGGGGCCACCTGCAGGGGAAACGGATCAGCGGGTGAGCCCCAGTGGACTTTGAAATCCGAACTGGGGCGCCGCGAGGTCGGGGGTAGTCCCAGTGCCCTGGACTGGGCTCTGTGCTCCAGCCGGATCCCCGCTCTTCCGAAGAGACTGTCCTTCCCGGGGTGCTCAGGCACTCCGCCCCACCGTATCTCTGGTGGGCTCCGCACGCTGCGCTGGCTGCTAGGCGTCGAAGCGATCTCCTTGGCCCCGGGGCCCAGTCCCCTCGCCCCCAGCTGTGTCTGAGCACAAGGGTAGCCTCTACTTGGGCTGGGCTGGGTTGGGCTGGGCTGGGCTAGACTATCCCAGGCAGATGCTTACTCTCTCCCCGCACCCAGCTCCCCGCGCCCTGCTCCCAGCTCCGCGTCTAGAGGAGGGCAGTTCTGGGTCTGGGTGCTTTGGCTCGGTCCCGCTCCAATGAGCGGCGGGGGCAGAGCCTGGGCGTAGTTTGCGGGGCCCGCGGCTGTCCCGGTGCCCACGCGTTAGATGTGCAGCCACCGCCTCCCCGGCCTTCACGGAGCTCGGGGGCGGGGGTGTGGGGGGGTGTGGGTCTGGGGTGGGGGTGGCGGGGGAGGCGGTGATCTCGCTTTTTTCTAGGCGGAGGCATCGTCTTTTCTTCCCAAACCGCAAACATGACAGAAGGGGCCTGGATTACCCCGCCGTGACCGCCGGAGGCGCTCCCGGCCCCGGCTTGGTGTGGGGCAGCGCGGCTGTGGCTCTCAGCGCTGCCACAGCGGCTCCCATTAAGGAAAAGCCAGCCAGGCGCCTTTCCCCTTCCCCGCCCCCCCCCCACGGGGGACGGGGGGAGAAGTAAGGAGGGATTGTTTTCACTGGAAAGGTGGGGGGAGTCACCTGCGGAAAGGAAATTAACTCTCACCCCTCCATCTCCACCCTCCCCTGCAGCTAAAAGCTGGCGGTAAAAAACATCGCCCAGGGCGGAACAAAACTTGGAGACTGGAGATCGCTGGGGCTCCATCCCAGTTCATTCCTCTCACCCCAAGTTTGGAGAGCGGTCCCTAAGAGGTTGAGGAGGGCACAGCTGGAGAGCGCACCCGGAGTAATAGGACAATGACATCCCTGGAACCCTGTAGTCTCCCCCAGACCTCCCCCACACACACTTCTACCAGCCTACCCAAGCGCAGCGCAGGCAGCACCTGGGGGCGCTGGCATTTTCAGAGCGCCAGCAACATCTGGAGGAAGGGGGTGGTTTGCTGCTTTAGCTCGCGGGTCTTCTAGGCTTGAAGATTCCGCTGAGAGCTGTGCTTCTTCAGGGTTGCGGACCCAGGTCCCCTCCCCCATTTGCCTATCTGGATTTGGGATTCGGCTCCTGGGACTGTCTCCTGGGACACCCCCGCCCATCCACCCTGGACATGATAGAAGTCCCTAGCTCCTGGCTCACCGGAGCCCCGAGCTCACCGCTGGCTGTACCCTGCACGGAGTTGCCCTGCTGGTGGGACTCCCAGGCTACTGGCTTTTTCCTTCCCTCCCTCTCCCTCCTACCCCCACTCCCGGCTCCGCTCTCCCCTCTGGCGCTGGCGGACAGCCGCCGGGGACTTTTATCTAGCCAGGGCCCCCGGATCAAAGCGACGGCTGCCACGGGTTTCTCTGAGTCTTGGGGGTGGGGGGAGTAATAGGCATCTGAGCCAGGATAGGGAGTAAGAGAGGGAGAGAATGGACAGGTGTGACCGGGAGCAAGGGTGCTGGAGCAGTTGGGGGTGGAGGGGGAGGCTCCCTCAGGTCACGCAGGAACAGATACCTCCCCTAATCCCGATGAGAGCAAGCCAGGGTCTGCCTGAGCTGAATCTTGGCAAAGGTTTTTTGGGGGGGACCGTGTTGGAAAACCCTAACGCCAATGGTATAGAGAACTGCTACTTGATACTACTCAGTGCCCTCTGAATGACCTTTTATCCTATCTTAATTGACTGAGGAATCTTCCTCCCTAGTCCCACAGTCCTCAGAATTCGATGCCATAGGATCAAAAATTTATAGTTGGGAAGGAACCTTAGAGGCCATATAGTCGAACCATTTCATTTTTCAGAAAGGAAAACTGAGGGCCAGAAAGATTGAGTGATTTGCCCAAAGCCACTCCGTAAATAAATGGCAGATCTAAAATTAGAATCCAGATCCTCTGACCCCAAATACTGTGCTCTTTCCACAAGGTCACACAAGGTAGATTGCACGTGGCAAAGCTGGGCTTTCATCTGACCTCTGACTCTGGGACAACGCAATGGAAAGAACGCTGGGCTGGAAGCCGGGAGCCCTGTTACCAACTCTGTGTGACCTTAGCCAACCAAGCTCTTTCTCTTTCTCTTAAGTAAAATGAGGATTTGGGGATAGCCTTCCTAAGGGGCCCGACTCCACTTCCTCCAGCTCTAACATTTAGCGATTCATTGCATACATAGCATGCCTAGGGCAGCTAGGGCACGGTGGATTGAGTACTGGGCCTGGACTCAGGAAGCCCTGAGTTCCAAATCCAACTTCAGACACTCACTAGCAGTGGGACCCTGGGCAAGTCACTTAACCATTACTGTTTGCCTCAGTTTCCTCATCTGTAAAATGAGCTGGAGAAGGAAATGACAAACCACTCCAGTATCTTCAGAGAAGATACGGCATCACCAAGAGTCAGACAAGACTGAACTGCACACATAGGAGAAGTTGACATTATTAGATATTAATGGAGACATTATAACTTTCTTCCAAGACTCTCCTGGCACTGGAGCACATGTAATCCCAGGAACCAGGTACATTAAGTGTTTAATAATTTAGGTTAGGTAGTCATCACTGGTCCCTTGATTTAATTAGCATAACACTCAAAACATTTTTGTACTTTTTTTTACATCACTTCCATTTACAAAATATTCCTTCCCCCTACTCCATCTAAAATGCCATCTCTTGTAACAAATAATTAAAAAAAGAAAGAGAGGGGAAGAGGATCTTAGCAAAGCTAAGTTCTTAGAGGGTAAAGGCATTTTTAGCATGAGCTAAGTCTAACAGTGTATGCAGTATTCTACACCCATAGTCTAACCTTTTATCAAATGAGATTACATGTAAAGCACTTTGCAAACCTTAAAGCACTATACAAATACTAGCTAATATTATTAACTATTGTTAAGGAAGAGGTACATTTTCAGGCCCATTGTAGTGACACAAACATTCAGTTTCCATTTTCTTTGTTATTGGTCCTCCCATTTGTGTTGTTCCTTCATGTTCAACTCTTCATGACCACATTTGGGGTTTTCTTGGCAAAGATTCTGGAGTCGTTTTCCATTTCCTTCTCCAGCTCATTTTATGGATAAGGAAACTGAGGTAAACGGTGAAGTGACCTGCCCAGGGTCACACAGCTAGTAAGTGTCTTGAGGCTGGATTTAAACTCAAATCTTTCTGATTTGAGGCCCAGTGTTCTATCCACTATTGCCCTACATTGTTTACAATTATTATATTGTTACAGTTATTGGGTATATTTTTTTCCTGGTTCTGCTTACTTTGCATTACTTCACTTGAGCTTCTCAAGATTTTCTGTATTCTTCATATTCATTGCTTCTTACAGTAAAATAACATTTTGTTACATTTATGTACCACAGTGTGCTCAGCCATTTTTCAGTCAATGGGCATCTACTTTGTTTCCAGCTTCTTGCAAAAAGTGCTACTATAAATATTTCAAAGTATATGGTAACTTTTTTCCTATCTTGATTTCCTTGAGACACATACCTAGCAGTAGGATCTCTGAGTTACTGGGTATAGCATGTTAATCGCTTGCTTATGTAAGGGCATCCCCTTTGTAGACTTCAGCAAAGTTGAACAAAGTTAGGGACCACATTGAAACAATGAAATATGAATGGCCCTGTCAGATGCAAATTGAGGAAACAGGCTTTTCATAACAAGATTTCACATGAAAAGCAGAGAAAAGACCTTGCTCTAGGTCACAGACTGTCTTAGTGCCTTTTTCATTTACATTAAACCAACAGGAATTTGGGAAAGTAGTAGATGGTCACCATAAGTTAGGGTGAGGTCTCTCATGAAGAAAAACCCATTTCTGAGTCAGGAAAAATTGTGGAATAGGAAAAGCTATACCTCTTCCATTATCTGAGTGATGCACTGAGGGAACAGAACTGGAGAGTCAGTTCTAGGCTAAGGGTCTGCTGCCCTTTTCAGAAAGAGCACAGTGGGGGCAGCTAGGTGGCGAAGTGGATAGAGCATTGGCCCTGGAGTCGGGAGGACCTGAGCTCAAATCTGGCCTCAGACACATAACACTTACTAGCTGTGTGACCCTGGACAAGTCACTTAATCCCATTGCCTAACCCCCCCCAAAAAAGAAGAAAGAGCACAGTAATACCCAGACAGGCCATGAGGCTGAAGGCAGTAGAACTCAGGGAATCCATCAGATCAGTCTATCTAAAACAAAGATACTCGGGAGCCAGACCATCACCAGAACACCATATGTAGTACTGAGCTTTGTGAAGACTCTCCGGAGAAAGAGAAAACACTGAGGCATTCCATTTCTGGAGTTGCACCTTGACCACATGTCCTCCCTACTACTTTTGTACTGTAAGTTTGAACCCACTCTTCCCGTAAGGATTCTGTGTCTATTTTTAGGAAAGTGTGCCCTGGTTTTGAGAGGGATGCTTTGTAACTACTCTTCTTGTTATACTTGAGTAAATGGTTTTTTCCTAAGATCTGAGTCTACTGGCTGGGAAGAACATTGGTGGGGCATATGAAATACAGTGTTAGTGGTAGACTTTCTTAGGGTTAACCTCAGAACCTGAGGTAGAAATTCCCTCTTTGGAGACATAACCTGCCAGTGTCAGGAAGAGAAATGAACCCAGAGGAGTGCTACATTGGGCACAATCCCAAATTGCTTTTCAGAATTATTGGAACAGATCATTCACCTCCACCAACGGTATAGTCTGGCGAATTATTTTCACATACATTATGGATCGCATATTTAAATCTGGGAGGGACTCTAAAATCCAATACTCTCCTGTTACAGATGAGGAAACTGAGGTTAAGTGACTTGCCAAGGTCACCAGAGCAGAATTTGAATCCAGGTCTTCTGATTCCAGAATCACCATTTTTTCTACTGCTTCCCTATTTCATTTGTTTCTCCATGGAGGCAGGTAAAAGCAAGGGATATGTGTGTGTGTGTGTGTGTGTGTGTGTGTGTGTGTGTGTGACTAGTGAATAAACCAAAATACAAGGAGATTAAGTCATCCAGGTCATACTGTCAGTCGAGATAATTGTTACTAGAACCTAGGTTTCCTGTAATCTAATCCAGTGTTCTTTCCCAAGTAAGGAATATAATGGATACAGCTCTGAACTTGGAGTCAAGAAGACCTGAGTTCCATTTCTACCATAGACACTGCTAGCTGTGGGACCCTGGGCAAAGCAATTAACCTCTCACAGCCTCACTTGTCTCATCTATAAAATGAAGATAATAATAACACCTATCTCATAGGGTTATTGGGACTTGAATGAGGTAACATAAGTACTTTGCAAAGCTTTAAAATGCTGTATAAATGCTAGCTAATTAGGCAGCTAGGTGGAGCAATGGATTGCAAGCACACTGACATGAGTTCAAACCTTGCCTCAAACACTTATAGCAGTGTGACCACAGGCAAGTCACTTAACCTTTCATGTCCTTAGTTTCTCCATCTGTAAAATGGGGATGGTAATAGCATTTACCTCACAGGGCTGTCGTGAGGACAAAACCATAATACGTGTAAAGCACTTTGCAAACCTTAAAGCATATAGAAATTCTAGCAATTATTTCCCCTACATGGCAATGCCTCCTTGATTCGAAAAGACTGAATAAGGAAATAGCTCAGGCAGACAGGAAAGAGCACTGCTACCTGATTCTTGGACCACTTTACCTGATGTTTTCATCTCTCCCTAATAGGCTGACACCTGCTTCTGCAACTAGACCTCTCCAGACTGCCTGAGGTTTTCGTCACAGGTTGGGGAGAGATTCTCCAGCCAAGGTGTTTTGATTTCTTAGCTGAGGAAAGGCCAGAACTCTCTTGGTTTTTCTTGAATTAGTAGCTCAGTACTTTATGTGGAGGATCTCTGAAGTATGATTTGTAGGTAATGACAGTGGTGAAGACCCTGGCTTCCTGTTTCCCAACATGGTTCCCCCTCCCCCTTCTCCCTCCTCCTCTTCTCTGTGGCTTGGTTGCCCCAGACTCTGCTCCCTGTTCAATGCAGCTGCTTCCTGTGGTAGACAGCTCCTATTCACAAAGGTTTACTCAATGTCAACAGTATTTCATTTTGGGACCAGGATCCTGAATGTCAACATAATCATCCTCATTCCAGCCCCCCCAGACTGATGAATGAGCTGAATGAAAATCACAACATTCATCTAGTATTTATTGAAGGGTAGTTTTTCCTATAACCATGTCCTAACTAGGTGTTATTCAGGGTACAAAAAGGATATCCTATTTTGTTTTAATAAATAGCAAATAAAGCCATTTGTTCAAGCCTATAACAAACAGAAATCATAGAAGATGAGAATATACCAGACAATGCACAGAGTGAATGAGCTCTCCCACTCGAATAAGCTATTTCAGTTCCACTAAGAGAGCATTTTTAAAAAATCTCAAACAAAATATGAAACAACCAAAGAAGAATAATTGTGAACTTGGATTCGAGAAAGTACAAGATATACATTCTGTATTTATAAGCCAAACAGAGAGTTGGACCTGGCACAAAAGGAATCAGAATGGGGTGAGGAGTTAGTTTAGGAAAGCTTCCTTAAGAGGTGAATCTTGAACTGGTTAATTGTAAATATATAGGTCTAATCCTAAGATCATAGATTTAGAGCTGGGGTTTTAGTTCAATCCTTTCATTTTATAGAAATGAGGATATAGAAGTTCAGAAAGACAAATTTCCATTATGTTCTTTCCAGTGCCTGTTTGTGCTACAATGAATACATGGAAATAAAAGCAACAGAATTTTCAATAGAAATAATGGCTACTCATTTATTGGTGATTCTGTAGAAGGGATTTTAAGGAAGTTCTCTAGAAATATAGTGGTATTTATTCCTGTCGCCCCTCTTTCTAGGGTCACATAAAATGTGACTACATGAGCTCAGATGCCTCTTCCACACACTACAATCCAGCTGCCACAGAATTTCCAATCTTTGACATTTATTTTCAGTAGATCTGAGAAGTGGATAGGGCCATAGAGACCATCTAGTCCATCCTTTTGTTTCAAGACAAGGCAGTATCTGAATGAATGGGCTTTCATCCCACTTTTAAGGAAAGAAGGTAACCTTCATTGTGGTTAGAAACTCCAGACTTTATGTGAAAACAGAAACAGACCAATCAATGAAGGGGGTGAGACAAAGTGGGGTGGAGGAAGGCTTGGGTTGTGTTTGCCTGATAACACTGATACAGTGTTGAAAGTTTACAAAGCCCTTTCACCATGACAACCTCACAAGGAAGGTTTTTATCCCATTTTATCCTATCATATCATGACCCATCATCACCCATTTTACAGATAGGAAGTGGAATGTCAGAGAAGTCAAATGATCTTCCTAAGGTCACAGAGTAAGTGTGAGAGGCAAGCCTGGCAATGTGGCAAAAAGCAGTGGTTTTGGAGTCAAAGAGTTAGGATTCAAATCTCACCTCTGTATGACCTTGGGTAAGTCACTAAACTTCCCAGGATCTCAATCACTTCATCTTTGAAATGAGGGGATAAGATTAGGTAGTCTTTGAGGTCCCTTCCAGTTCTGGATCTGGGATCCCTTTTCATTATAGTATGAAGCCTCTGAATTTCTGGCATTAGGGAAGTGGGAATCTAAGTCTTGGCACCCTTGTTTCTGTCACTCCCTGGCTCCTTATCCTATCTACCTTGAGAATGAGTAGACGGGAAGTGTTAGAGATCTGGTGATTTGGAAAATAAGAATTGGGGTCAGAGCTGGGGCAGCCCCTGGGGCTTGTCCTAGTATATGGTGAAGTAAGGATAGTGGGTAATGGGGTGGGGTGGGATGTGGAGGAAGGCTGTCAGCAACTCTGTGGGGTTCCTGCCCTGGGCATTGTGGTGGGAACTGAGAGAATCTGAAACAGATGTGCTGATCAGAAGGAATATGTCTGAGGGCCTGGGATGTCTGTCATCCCGTAAGTCATGAGTGCCCATTTAATGATCCCACCCAAAGCATTGTCTCTGGGTCCCGCCAGTGTTCCCTCTTGGGGGCCCCTCCAGAGAGACATATGAGCAAGGAAACTTGCAGTATTAGAAAACAGCTCAAAGCTCAACTTAGAAGTCTTATTTGTTTTTTGTTTTTTGTTTTTCTTTTTGCCTCTTAAGCGGGAGGCCAGATGGCTGCCTTCCGGGCAGTGAGGCTCTCAGTGCCTCTCCCCGGCTGTGTGAACATCTCCTAGCCTTATGTGGGGGTACATCTTTGCAACCATATGTATGTCTTCCACCTGGGCATCTCTCCCACTCTGTGTGAACCTCAGAGGTCTCATTTGGAAATGCTATTTCAGGCTAAGCCATCCTATTTTCTGAAGCCTTCTTTCCTCCCCATATCTCTGCGTCTAATGAGTATCCTCTAGCTACTCAACGCTGTTCAAATTTTTTCGGCTCCTGAATTTCTAGTTCATGAGACCAAGGAGTTACTATGGTGAAGACCTGCTGGAAAGCATTCCTTATGTCCCCCTCTAGGATTTTTCCTAAGTCTTTTACCATGTTTGTTTGTTTGTTTCATTGGTGAGGCAATTGGTTAAGTGACTTGCCCAGGGTCACACAGGTAGTATCATGTGTCAGATGCCAGATTTGAACTCAGGTCCTCCTGACTCCAGGGCTGGCGCTCTATCCACTGCGCCATGTATCTGCCCCTTTCTTTTTTGTTTTTCAAGTCTTTTACCATGGATGACCATTTGTTGGAGATGTTGTAGAAGGAATCCATGCTTCAGGTAAAAATTGGATTGGGTCACCCCCTAGGGTCCCTTCTAATTCTATGATCCTTCATGGCTATGGCCTGGGCAGAACTTTCTCCATTTCTAGGTGACCAGGACATATCTCCTTTGTTACCCTCCTGTCCTGCCTCAGTGATCAAGTCCCTTGAGAATAAAGCTCCTTCTAACAAAGTTGGTTAGATTCTGAGAGCATCAGGGGAAATTTCAGATCTTCTCAGTGATGGGTCGATGTGCTTGGTAGCTGACTATCCTGGGACTGTATATTTAACATTGGAGGGAACCTTGGAGCTCATCTCCTGGAACCTCCTCATTTCACAGATGAAGAAATGGAGAGTTAAAGAGGCTCACTCAAGTCTTACCAGTAATAAATGACAGAGTTGGAGCAAAAGGAGACAACATTTTCTCAAGTGCAGGACTTTTGAAAGTGGGGTTGATGACAGGGCTGTCCAGGACAGAGTGATGATCATATATGACCTCCATGTCATAGGTCAAGACAAAGCAGTTTCCTTTGATTAGAAGGTCAGAAGGGAATACCTGACCCAGTTCAGGCACAGAATGAATCCACATCCTAGGACTAGTCCCTCTTCAATTACATTGGGCTCAGGAGTCAGGAAGAAAGGGCATGATGCCAAAATGGACTTGAAGTTAATAATAGCTAGCACTTTTTGACTTACAAAGCACTTTACCTATATTACACCATTTGAGCCTCACAATAATAAATCCCCATTTTACAAATGAGGAAACTGAGGCTGAGAGAGATTAAGTGATTTGCCCAGCTAATAAATGTAGAAGGTGGAATTCAAATTCAAGTCTTCCTGATTCCAAATCTATGTTCTGTACCACTTAGCTACTTAGATTCCTTCTCTGTCCCTGGACCCTACCTCTGATGGTGAAGTTTCTGACAATGAAGTCTATCCATAGAATTGTAGATTTGGAAGTGGAAGAGGTTATCTGACCCAACACCTTCATTTTACACATGAAGCAACTGAGGTACAGAAAGATTAAATTACTTGCCCAAATTTATACAGGTAGCAAATGTTGAAGGTGAAACTGAAACCAGTTTCTGTTGTTGAAATACATTCATTAATAGAGCTGTACATTTTACAGACGCAGTACTCACCCTCCTTTCAAAGGAAGGTCTCAGACTCCAAAAGACAGGCTGTGTTTAGACATTCCTGAATCTGTATCAGAGCTGTCTTCCTCAGCAGCTTTCTCCCACTCACATATTTAACACAGCACCACTTAGATCCCTTACCAGACCTAGTCTTTGGTTCAGTCCACATTCATTCTCTGAGTGGCTCTGTGCTAGGCTGGTAAGTATAACCCTGACTTGAAAGAAAGCCTCTTGGGTTCCTATCCACTCCATTGACTTTATAGAAGACCTCAGACAAGCTATTTATCTCCTCCCCTGAGCCTCTTTTGAGTTTCTTCAAGTCTCCATTTTCTTACCTAGGAACAACTGCCTTCTAGGACCAAATTTGAAGAAGAAATAAATGGCACAGGAGAAACGATATTTGAATTATACTGAATTTACAATTCAGAGGAAACACCAGGAAAAGTAGGATCTAATAACAATGTGGGAATTATGGGATCTTAAAGAGTGATGATGGAGTAAGAATCTTTCTTCTGCCAGGGCACAGATCACTAAGCTGGTCAGCTCTATCTACTCCATTGAACCGAGATTCAGGAAGGGTCTTCCATTCAGTCCTTTCCCTGTCTGGGTCCAGGTCCTGGTCCTCCTCCAGGCTCTTTCCTCCTCTAGGCCCCATGTTTCTTATTTGATCAACCCATTTTCATCTAGAAGTGTCTCTGGCTAGCCATGTGACCTTTGACTCTCCCTCCCACGCTTGTGATCCACATGTGGCCTTTGGAAAAGCAAAGAGCCAACTCTTAGCTCTCACCACTTGGAACTTTTCAGCTCCAGTTACTTCAAAAGGGGTGGTTGGGGTGGGGAGGAGAGAGAGGATAGGGGGAGGAGAGAGAGGAAAGGGGGAGGAGAGAGAGGAAAGGGGGAGGAGAGAGAGGAAGGTGATTGGGGTGGTGGAGGTCTGCTTCTGCTCTTAAAGGGCCAAGCTACTTTCAAATGCAAGGCAGATCATTGGAAACAGCTGGTTAGCTCCAACTTGGGAAGGAAAGTCTGAGTGAGAGGGAGGCAGAAAGGCAGGCTTGGAGCTGGGAAGGTGGTATAATCCTCATTTGAATCTAGCGCTGAAACTAAGTCTCACTGGCACAACTGATATTGATGCAAGATTGTTTTTCTTGTCTAAAGGTTAGCCTATTGAGGGAGGTGACAGGTTTTTTTTTAATTGCCTTTTATTATTATGAATTTGACAAACATTAACAGACATGAACATTTCCCCATAAAATGAAGAACAAAAAAAAAAGAGTGCATATGAAACCACAAATTTCCACTACATAGGGCTTGTTTTTTTTTTTTAATATTTAAAATTTAACAAGGTTGTTCCAATACTGTCCTGGTTATTTGTCTATCCCCTTCTGAATTTTCTTCTGCTTTCTTCTATTTATTTGTGTAATGATTCATTGACACTTTCTTTTTTTTTTTTTAATATTACTACCACTCTTTCCCCTCTATTCCTCAATTATCTTCCTTCTTAAAAAAATAAAAAGTATCACAATCATCCCCTTACTCCTAAATTATCCTTCCCCCCAAAAAAAAATCCTTCTTTGTCACAAATAATTATTGTCTACCAAAACAAATCCACACACTGGCCAAGTCTGAAAACGTATGTATTCTGCATTTACAATCCATCACCTCTCTGCTAGGAGGTAGGAATCCTGATACAACATTAGGCTTCTGAAGTATTAATTATTCATTGCACTGATCATTATTCTTAAGTATTTCAATTGCTTTTCTTTACAGGATTGTAATCATTGTATAAATGGTTCTCCTGGCTCTTCTCACTTCACTCTATAAAGCTTCATACAAGTCCTCCCATGTTCTTTTTTGTAATTTGAATCTGGCCAATGGCATTCCCATCCCCA